CCAGCTGCCCTGGAGGAAGAAAAGTGTACTCTTGACTATCACGAAACAAATCACTTTGTCCTGTTTTTCTTTCTACTATTATGGAATGCCATTATTTTATCACTTTACTTGTGCAAAGAGAGTATAGGCTAAATCAAAATCGCCTTCACAAAGATAGTTTTTTTCAGCCACGATAGTTTGCCGAGAATCGAGTAGACTATAAACTCTATTTTGATGACAAAATAACCCAGGGCAACAGATCCGCATTCCGGTAAACGGCTTTGATTTTTCATGTTAATTGAGGTGTAATATTTTGGCCTTTCCATAACTTCGTGAATATTCAGGTTTCGTGCGCGTTTTGTGAATCCCAAAGGTCTTGTACAGTTCAGTTGTCAACTTTTGAAACTGGTGCCTAGATTGCTCTACACAGTCTTGAGCACATCGTGTTGACAAATTTCAAAATGAAAAGAGTGTAGAAATAACTATTTCATTATTTTGAGTCCTCCACTGCATTGCCCAAACAACGCTCAAAATAGTCTACCATTATCCAAACATTTTGGTTTCATTTCTTAGTGGAGACCACATCGCTTATGATGCTAATGCCTACAATTTTCCTTAGGAACTCCTTCACAAATATTTGAAGAAAGAGGTGCAATTGCTGTTAAAATGCGTGCTTGAGGCTAACAAAGTATGTTTTTACCGAGCTCAAGTGGAAGCGCATTTTGCAACAATGAGCTTGAAATAACTGGGCGCGTGATAAGCTTAACAACTTCTCAGCTCATAAAAGCCTCTGTCCCTAGAGATAGCTTTGGCTACATCTTCTCTCGTCTACCTAGCCGCCTTGATTGGTAGTGGTATCTCTTTCGCAGTGGGTTTGCAAGAATGGGTAAGGAATCCGTTCCATACCAGAACCCTGTCGGGATCGGCACACTGCTTACACCTCCAATGAAGTTTAGTGGCCTTGCTCAAGAAAATAATATTCACCGCATCACCATATGCTTTCTTTAGAACTAATCTTTAAGGTAAGGCATCCGCATTGCTATGTACTTCTTCATTTCCTTACTGCACTGTCAAATGGTAATGTTGCAGCTCCTTTTACCAATGTGGATCTAAACGGTCTTCTTCCTTCGATGCTTTCAATTATGACAGCAAGCCTCTGATGATCCGTTCTTACTCTGATCCTCCCAGTCAACTATTATTTACAGGATGCCTGATTTTCGTCTTAATTTGTGCTTAAACAAGCACGTTGGATAAAACAAATAGTCTAGCCTGCTGCCGTACATGCAGCAACTCGAAACAGACAAGAGAACGAAGTGAGACGTTTGTTTAACCAGGAAGTGTGTTGCCATTTAACTAGCGCACATCATAATGTACAAGTCAGTGGTTGATAGGTAAGATGTTCCATTGCAACAGATGTTTCAAGCCTATTATCGGCCACAAATTTATCCATATAGTCATGTAATACGTGGGAGAAAGACCTGAGTATCTAGTGAGGAGTGCATATTAGAAGGTGGGAAATAATGGAACTGAGTTTTAATGTCATTTGACAATGGGACACCTAACACTAAAGTTCTGCTTTACCTCCTAACATCTAATAAATAGCAAGATTTGGTCTCTTTTGTTCCCATTTTATCAACGGCTCCTCTAGCGCTTTCATTTGACCCACTTTTAATGCCACAACTGTACACTTATGCTAGCCTAAACTTCAAAGGTTTAACTCCGTACTTAAAAACCATTCCAGATATGAGGGGAATTCAAGACGCTTTGCAAAAATACCGCTAATATAGATGAGGAACAGCTGCAAGTAGCAAGAAAATGGAAATGAGCCGCAGAAATTTGCCCATACATATGTTTTTTTGAGGTTTTCCTGCATTTTCTGACTTATAGTCGTAATTCTCCGACTTCAGTATAAGCACAACAACTATGACCAAGTGCATCGACAAAGCGGTCAAAGAATTGAGCAGCATTATTCTGTGGGAATGTGACTACTAACTACGCACTCCTCGAATTTATGCTATCGGTCATTCTGAGGAAACATCAAATAATATCTATATTCTAATCAAAGCATGTTGCTTCAAAGTTATCCTGTGCTATCGTGGAGCAAAATTTTACAAGACCTTGAATATAGTTAACTCTAAAGTCAGAAAATTTTTGTCTCTAATATCTTCTGCTTCGATTGACAACTTGACGTCGTCAACGGTATAATGAAAACGATGACCTCCTTTGTCGGCTTCAAAGAGAAGCAGTATTATACTCGAAGGAATCTAAATACGCAGGTTCAGACCTGCTTTACATTGGTTAGGGTACAAGTAACAAAATAAATTGGTTGTGAATAAATAGTAGCTACACCACTACCCCGCTGCTTTTGGTCATTACGGCCAGTGCTACTCTCAAAGCAATTTGTGAATCACTCCTTATTAACTGCGCAGACCCTGTCAATAATGTATGCTTTGCAGATGGTGCGAACTTAAGCACTTGTAAAACAGGCCCGAACCTGCAGCAGTATCACCTGCATTTAACACTGACTATTCTATGCGTTGAACTGTTGAAATTTTTGTAGCTAAGAATTTTCTCCTCCTAATATTCACTCTTGCCATCTTTAAGATTTCCAGGAATTAAGATGCAGAGCCTTTTATCGTCCTCAGGTGACAAGACTTCCTCAATTAGAAAGACCTAGCTAAGTAAATTCTGGGCTTGTTTAGGACTGCTGGTTGTGGCAGCACTTACGGACAAAGTGTAGAAGATGAGGAGATCACCAATGCCTTTGTCGATGAGATGTCTGCGGTATTGACAGTCTCGTCTCCCGCAGTCTGGGCACCCATACACCCGTCCTTTTAATGATTCACTTATGATGAAGGCAATATGGGAAATTATCTTCAGCGTATAAACGCTGTAACCTAATAAGACAGCAATCCATCCAATAGGCTAATGGGATCGGCGATATTTGACAGTAAAAGCTTTGGATTGTTAAAACTGCTACCCGACCGTTAGAGTTTGATTAACTTCAATCTGAATTGGACTTGAACTGAACTTAACAATAGCAAATAGGCGTCACTGCTGATGTGATATTATATAGAATACGATTACTTGTGGACCTAGTACAAGGGAGGTTTTTCTGTACAAGAAAGTTAAGGTTTAATTTTACCACCTTCAGTTATGCTAAATTTTTAAGCTCGCATTTATTCTTGCATAAAAAGTATAAATTTACGAAAACGTAGTCAGTATATCTATAAGGAGAGCAAATTTATTTAAAGAAAATCGAGAATTTTTACTTAATTTGGAAGTTCATCGATGAATTAGAATTGGCCTAGCGTGTAAAACAAATAGAGAGCAAAATCATTTAAAAATCACTCATAATTTCGCATTAATTTTAACAGGTCATAAATGAAACGGGCTCAACGCACTCAAAAATGCAAAGTAAAGTGGGATGTAGGTTCAAGGGTAGAAATGATTTAGCTCTGGCCTCGGTAACATTTGCTCAAATAGGCTCCTGCCATCCGTCAGCTGAATAGTGAAAGGCAAAGTTGGGTTCAGTGGATGAACTGAAGAGGATATCATGCTATAGCAGACCAGTAAAAGGCGAAAATTGTTTCAGCATTTGAATGGACTCAGCTGTCCTTTCGGTTTAATTTAATATACAAAGCTCATGCCAGCCGTTATGTGACCGATATAAGGCGAGTTGTGGTGCAAAAGTGACGGAAAGAAGGAGAAAGATATTGTGTTGGCTGCATCACAAGGCTTAGTTTAATTAAAAGTGACTGAGGAAAAATAGATGGAATAAAGAGACGGCGCAGATGAAGGAACCTTCTTCGCCTCCACCCCCTCTGCAATCCCATTCTTTCTTCTCTATCTCTCTCTCTCTCTCTTCGAGCTCCCTCTGTTGTACCGCATAATTTCAACAGCACATCTCTATGCCCCAAATGAATGCACTTTTGATATCTCAATTCAATTAAGTTGAATTTCGAAATTTCAAAAATGAATTAACCTCCACAGTGGCAATAGAAGTCTTTTTTCCTCTTCTTTTTTATTAATTCATTCCTTCCCTAATAAAAGGAAATAGAAAAGAGATGTGTCATATTACAGTGCACCTTTGATGACTTCCCAGGGCAAGAGAATGTGCAAAAGATAGGGGATAACGTGTGGTGAAAGATAAGGCCGCCATCGCCTTCTTGCCTGACTGTTTTACTTTAGAGCAAATAAGGGAAAA